GAGGGCCTCTGCAGCTTTTCAAAACATGGCCTTGTTTAATCTAATCATCTCTGGGAGCACAGTCACACACATCAGCGCAACCAAAGAACTCCCTCTAACCACAGCGAAACAGGGGCAGCCGGGCTGCCGTGTCTCCACCACTTACTTCCTAAGCCTCCAGCTGAATACTTGGCTTTGACTTTTTAAGTTGCCTGACTTTAGCGCAGGAAGCATTTTGGAGTCTTTCACGGTGGAGAGATTCCCTTAGCACATTTTATAATTAACTACGATAAAGCAAAGCTTCAGCAAGTTCGCAAATGATGGATTTCATTAGCCTAAATAAAATCAGATTGTTCTCCCTCGCATATGGGGAGCTGGCCCAACATCAATAAAATTATTATTTTGGAGAACCATGTGTGCAGCAGGTGAAATCTTTATTATTACAAGCCAATAATAAAAGTTTGACAAGTTAAAAATATAAACTCAAAATGTAAACTTACATTCACTTGCAAACTTTCCACAGTTCACACTTGGGTTATAAAATGGCCATAACCACATTTTTGCCTCCACTCAAGGCACACGGATGAGGACTGTGTTCCCGAGAGTTTAAAGCAACTTCTTAAAATGTCCGAACAATTTAGTCGATGTTTACATACACAAAACATAGCAAGGAGGAAGACAAATTATTATTGCCTGTGTAGGGTCTGTATTTATCAAAATCTATTTTCCAGAAGCCTCCACTGGCATCAGTAGACGATATATCTCCAAAATCTAGCTCTTTTTATGGAAACGATTAGCAGGAAAAGAGAAGGGTTCACATTAATATCTGGTCCAGGGAAAGAGTCACTTTTCAGAATTGTTCATTGAAGCCACTCTGATTTTAGCCTGATGGACAGAGAAGCTGTAGGATGGGTCCTTCAGGCTAGTTCAAGTACTTCACGTTAATTTTCAAGTTCAGAAACATTTTAGATAGAGGGGATAAAAGACCAAAGAAAATTGTGATTCAAATATGACTCTGTATTTTAAACCACTAGGTACAGAAATACGCAGTGGTGGGGCATAGCGTGAGAAACTTTAAGTCCGTTAATGGAAGCATTATTCTTTTCCTTCCTTAATTAAAAAAAAAAATTAAGTGTATTCATTTCAAGACAGAGAGAGTGAGTGGGGGAGGGGCAGAGAGAATGGAGAGAGAGAATCCCAAGCAGGCTCTGCACTGTCAGCGTGGAGCCCGACCTGGGGCTCGAACTCACAGGATGCGAAATCCCACCCTGAATCGAAATCAAGATCTGACGGAGCCACAGGCACCCCGAAAGCATCATCCTTAATCAAATACAGTAAAACCTTGGTCTGCGAACATAATTCGTTCTGGGAAAACACGTTTGTAATCCAAAGCACTCGTGTATCAAAGCGAATTTCAAGAACCACTGGCTCGGTTGTGATCATGCGATGTTCAGCCTCATGTACTACTCGTATTGCAAGACATCACTCGGTTAGCAAGTTAAAATTTATTAGACCTATTTGCTCATCTTGTGAAACACTCACAGACCAAGTTACTTGCACTTCAAGGTCTCACTGTATATCCTTTTACTGCTTATAGAAGAAATAAAGTAGAAAAATTATGGGAACAGCCTAGAAATTTTCTTCATGGCTTATGCTTTGAGCACAGTAACATACCCCCACAGTCTGTGTGCATGAAGCAAATTGCACATTTTGGAATGTTCTCAAGCAGATTTCAAAGCACTCTAGCAAAAACTGAGGTCACTTTACCACTGTCCACAGCCTATATATATAACCTCCCAATCTGGAAAGTGGTAAATGTCTAATAAAAGGAAGGGAAGAAATCACATGAGAAGAATGAAGTGGAATTAGAATCCAGAGCATGGTTAGCTCAGACCCATGGTTTCATGCAACAATCTAAAAATAAAGTGCCGGAAACAGCTCAGCGAGTGGCATTACCAAAGATCACACTGGCTGCAGAGGCAAGACTGTAATAACAGACAGATGATTAGGAAATATTCTGTGGGGTTATTGTCTCTAATTTCTTTAAGGCTCGTACTTTATAACATATGTTCACAATATCTAGGCAAGAGGTGAAATTAAAGAATAATAAAGCAATTAGAAAATAAAGAGAATGCAAGCCAGATCCCTTTGCGAAAGGAAAATTAAGTCCATATCCCCTTATCCCCAGATCTTAAATTTCTCAGATTAAGCTATATGTAATGCAGAAAGATAGATTAAGTGGGCAGTGTTTGACTGAAGAATGGATTATAGAGAATTCTAAAGAAGGAAATAGAGATGACCCAACCAAGAAATTAAAGGGAACAGAGGGCATGGTCATATAATCAAAGATTTGGGCTTGAGTTTTTCACATAGAAGCCTATACTTCTCCATCATTGTTCCCTTGTAAAACTGCCCAATACTGTACCATTAAGAAAAGTCCTTATTGTACATATACAGCTTTAATAAAACATTTGTTCTCATCAGCACCTGTCTTCCTACTTCTCAGGCTGCTGGGCCTGCCCACGTCTACCCTTGGTTTAGGAATTCAGGAAGGCTGGGAAAGGTGATGCCGGAAGGTTCTTCATGCCAGCCCAGTTGTCTTGAGAGTCTAATGCATCCCCAAAGAGACTTAATTTACTGCCACAGCGATACTCTTGCAGAGAAACCTCCCAAATGCTAGTAATGCATGATAACAGACCATTGCAGGATTAAATGGAGAAACAGCCCTTCCTTCAAGAACTTTGTAATCTCTTCTTTAGAAGATCAGGATGTAGGGCTCATAATCTTACGGATGGCTGATGTCACAATCCAACAGTGTCACTTACTCACAGAGTCTGAGATGAAGCAGCCTCTGCCTACCCACAGATACAGAACCTTTCTTTCGGAACTTCCATCGCTCTGAATAATGGTGATTAACTACTGGTGTACTTTCAAAATCATCTCTGCTTAATGATAATCCTCTGGAGCATTTGGGCTAATTCTTCTTAGCTTCTGCTGCACGTTCAGAATGTTGCCTTGGGCAGCTCTTGTGTTTTTCCCACTTACTCACTCGTGCACATCCGTCTATAGGTAATAAATACTGATTAAGGATCTATATTAGGCTGTATCATTATCAGCTTAATAGGTATAAATGAGAGAGAGGTAAAGACATATTCCCAGCTCCGAGAGCTCAAATAGCATATGTGTTTTAAAAACCTTTTCAGGCTTGCCAGGTCTTTTTTTTTTTTTTTTTTT